GAGAGAACGTGCGATGCTCTACGAGGAAAAAACAGAAGCCAGGTGGTATGGACAGCGCCGAACTGCCCTATAGTCTGCACCTGGCAAGACATTAATATACATATATACACCGAGCGTTATGTAAAACTTATTACAAACGGGGAAAAGAAGCGCTTCCTCACGTCGTATCGCTCCTCACTCACCGTCATCCAAGGTCCTTGATACTTCCAGGCTCCAATGATTTTGGACACTTCACGCACTATTGCCAAGGTCACCAAACTCGGTTTCAGGTCTCAAAGAAGAGATCAGTTACAAATTTTACAATTGTAAAAAAAGYACTTATCTACAAACACTTCTTTGGCAGTGCCTTTTGTCTATACATTAAATTATGAAAAGTTGGTTACACGTCATATAACTTTTTGTAAGCATTAGTAGATAAGAATTAGATTTAGGTATATCTAGATTTACAACTTTCGCGATAATATAATTTTAAGGATTTAGAATGTAGAATTTAAAAACATATCCATTTCGACCTTTAWTATAATTATAACAAATACTTTAATTTCAATTCTCAAACGAAATTAGAATCGAAAAACAGTTAGTTAAAACATGAAGTACCTACTTTTTCTTATTATGGACACTACGGACAGCAGTAATACAAATTATAGTAACTAAGAATATGCATAGACTATTATTATTATTTATTATTATTATTAACTTAAAAAAATGTATGTATAAGAAGTATAAAACGATTCTAAAAGCAACTCAACTTTCTGAATTATTAAGTGTTAATTGAACAATTTCAAATTTTAACTTATGATTACAAATTTATTTGAATACTTCAATTTATGGATCATATGAAGTTATGTCTAAGCAGAGCTGCAAGGTGTACTTCAAAAGCTCTAGATTTAAAACAAATCTATACGCAGTAAATTACACAGTATTTTGCAATTATAGTCAAATTGTCTGTTCAATTGGAAACGTTTAGATTAAATTTACAAAAAAAAAAAAAAAAAAAAAAATAGATAGATKGGCAAACACAAAAATACAGGAATAAAACAAAAGAATCCTTGCTTCATTTAAATTTCAGTGTTCATAGCAGAACATCGTTTTTTAAACTGTTGATTAAAACTGATTGATGGATTTAATTAGAGGGTAAACATCTAATATCTAATTCCTAAACCAGATTTCAAATTCCCAAAGATTAACAGGTATTTTTAATGATTTACTTACACTGATCATCATTAGTCCTCTACCCCCTCACACACCAAAAAAAAACATTAATCTTGTAATATACCAAAACCTAATACAGTTACAAAATAAATGCTTATAAACAAACGAAATAAAAAAAATTGTATATTATAATGTAATTACTAATTTATAATATACCKTGTTGACAAGGTACCTAATACCTATATAAAGTACCTAAATAAGTATCATATAAATATGTTGTGGTTGCGATAATAAGTTAGAAGAAGAAATAAATCCAATAATTAGTCAAGAAAATATTTTTTTGAGTATTACCTACCGTAAAAATGGAATTGTGCGCCAAAATATATAGGTACCTACGTACCAGTATCAGTATAATATATGATATAATAATATGATGATAGTAATAGCTAATGAGTAATGGCTAACAARTAACCTTGAATTTCGTCTCTTGTAAACACTAACGAACTAATTCTATGGACTATGGCAATCTTTTCTACGTTGTATTACCAAAATCTATGTTATATTGATTAAGGTCTTGGATGTCTTAAATTAATTATATATATTCATTGTGGAATAACAACGATAGCAATCAATCCTATACGACCCGCTGAGAAATGACATTATTTTATTATTAAACATATTATATAAAACATTTTGAGGGGCAATGACATTATAAGACAAATTTAAGAAATACACATTTTTAACATATAAAATATTTATATTGTTAATACTATGATGAAGTACCTACCTATTCGATTCGACAATACCCTTAATTTTATTATTTATACTATATAACACCTCCCTACATTCTCCATTCATTGGTTAATAATAATGCAACTTCCATTGATTAAAATTAAACAAAAAATGTCATATATTAATAACAACAAACCATTTAGGTTTTTAACTTTAAATAGACAGTATATAATTATTACATAATGCATTAATGTATATTACACAGTGTCACGTTTATTGTTACTACACGCGGAAGGAAGCGGGAATTACCAGAAAAAAATATTTGACGTATCAATCTATATAGTTTTTTTGGTTTATTTTTCTACTAAATCAATAAAATCTATTAAGCTAAATTTGTACAAGAAATAAAATATTTATAATAATAATAATATGTTATTTATACTTGTATGTTGTGTAATTATTTAAATTATGTATTCTGAGACCTGAGTTATATTATATTAGTTGATAAAACTATACCTACATTACAATTGTCATCAAATTATTTGTTTTTGTTATTAATCTTATCTATATTCAAAATCCCTCCTCGGAAATATAACGTCCTCACAAGTTAAAAGTAATAATTTAACCATTACGTAACTTGTTGAACAAAATTTCGAATTACCTACTAGACACTATAACCAGTATTTTATTATGAAATAATAAATACCTACCTAACAATTATTAAAACGAAAAAAAATTAAATATTGACTTACCTTTGCATGCTAGGTATATCCGAGAAGTGATATTTTTCTTAGTAATCGTCTGGCGGAGTTGTATCCATATTAATATCCAAGTGAGAAAATTGGTGAAATTTTGAAATGGTGGGACAATTTGACAATGCACCGCTGTGCTTGCATTAAGTAGAGTAGACATACGATTTAAATAAAAAAGCATAAAACATCGTTTAATAATAATAAATTATTAGATTGTGGAAATTTGTAAAAAATTTAAAAGTTGTTAATAATTTTTCGTTTTAAAAAGTATGGAATAACAATTTGTAAATATTTAAAATGATAATAAATTAGTTATGATAAGAGTTATGTTGAAAAATGGTACCTGGTAACTACCGTCATGAAAATATTATAGATGACCCCCATAGATAACGAATAGTAAACACCGTAACCACGGTTTTGATGAATGATTACCCATCAGTTGATATTACCTAAATCACAATAATAATTAATAGGTACCGCTTAGGTGTTGTAGTGGCATAGAACATTACAATATTAACGTATCATACCACAGAATAAATAATATTTGGCTTTAATTGTTGAGCCAAATTTTTATAAAGGCTAATAAAAAAAAATAATAATAATATATGATTTTACCATGATAATTATTTCTTTAAATAACGTACCTATTGTTTGTTTTTGTCCTTTTTGCTATTTGAAAAATCTATTAATTGATTAAATAAATATAATATAGTACCTAAATAACACTAAAATATAATGTAAAGAACTGAAACAAACGAATTCAATAATATTGGTACTTCAGCTTAAAAAAAATGTTATATTTTACACAAATAAACATTGTTCAGTGGTACTGGAACGTCTGGAAATCTCCCCTCCTCAGACAACAATATTTATGTATTTACTTATTATACACGATGTTTTAAATTTTATATTATATATTTAAAGTAGGTATACTGAAATAGGGCAGCCCAACAACCCCGTCCATCACAATAAAAAAATAATGAAAATATGTCACTGCAAAAAAATAAATAGTTTCTATTTGAAAACGAATGGTTAATTCGTTAATTTTTTTTAAATTATAAAATGGGATTATTATAGGTAGCCGGTAGGTATATTATAATATTATATTATAAGTTAATGCGTAATAGATTAGAACATTTTTTTTTAGGTTACAAATTTACAATTGCATTTTACTTAATTTGTCCACACTTTTTAAAGCTATATTCAAACCCCTGTTTTTGAAATTTGTTATTGGTCATCTACTATAATATAGTAGTATAATATTATTATAGGTACCTAATTAAATAAGTATGAATAAAATAATAATAGTATATAAACAAATTTTGAAATATGTACTTACCTAAAATAGTTATACCTATCACCAATAAGGCTGTAACCTATAAATACTAMTATAATAACTAGGTATGCCTATTGATTATTATTGGAACTTTTATTATTGTTAAATAATTAATGACATGCAAGTATTAAATATTTAAATATTAATAAACTACCTATACTCTTACGAGTTTTATTATACAAGTAAGTAAAATATAAATTATTTGTTTTAAATGTTATAATATAAAATTAATTTTTAAATAAATAATTATAAGTTATGACTTTGATTCTTAAGAAAATATTACTGTTTACTAAAATTAATGTATACCTATTACGTGGTTTAAGTTTTAAAACTTAAAAAAAAAAATATTAGATAGGTATTCAGTATAATAGGTAACCGTATTTAAAATGTACCTGCATTATAAATTATAATATTACATTACAAAATATGTACGTAACTTAAATATGTACCTATATGTGTGCAGCTGAAGGTATAAAAATGGGCGCTTAATAGTTTATTTAGCTGATAAAATTTTCTAGAGGATACAAACAATTATATTAAAACTTAAAATCATGATTATTCAAATTGAAAATATACCAAAACACTTAAGTGCTGTAAGTGCTAACATAACAATTAACAATAAGTTGATTTAAAAAATAAAAATAATATGTAATACCTAATACACCAATAAGAAAACAAAATAGGTATGAATTCAATTAATGTTTATAACACAGCTTGAATAACTTTTTTGCTTACGTTATCTTTGGAATATTTTTGGAGAATGTTGATAATAAAAATCTGTATTTTATGTTGGCAACAATGTCATAATCAATTCTTATCAAATGATTAGTTGAGTGTTTACATTTTTCACTATTTTAAACTAATAATTACAAATTATTTTTGTTATTTGTCTTTTTCACAAACATTTTAATTTAAGAATCTAATTTATAATTTTTTTTTGTAAGCTAGTAAGCTAAAATAAAATTTTTATTGTGAAATTTATTTATAGTATCTTTATTGAGTCATCATACCACATTCAAACCTACAGAATGCATCTCTCCATTAACCAACTGTCTACCCTTATGAGGTATGCATAAACTTATTAACATAAATTGTATCTAGTTTTATAATACATTACTTAATTTAATAGCATTCTCAGTGAAGAAACTGTAGAGAATCAAACACTTGAATATCTTGTTTCACAGCTACATCAATTTTTCAAACGAGAAGATAATTTTAAAGGTAAATGTTAAACATAATTTAATATTCACACTGTAAAAGTGAATATTTAAAACATTTATTTAATTATTATAACATAACTATTTATGTTAATAAAATAACAAAATTAATGTTTTCATCATGTTTAAAAGTTAACTATGGTCTATTGACTTTGATAGTTTTAAAATCATCCAAGTTAACCTTTTATTTTTAATTTTCTATAAAAAAGTTACATAAATTTATACCATWTAATTTATGTTATCATTATATAATTATAAATATAAGTATATACTATCCTGAAAACACGATTTTATGTCTTATTCATTAATTTTATAGAATTTTATTTATTCACTTTTAAGTTTCCCACTCCTTTTTACCAYTACTACCATTCTTAGATTTATATTTWACTTTTACTTAAATAAATGTGCATTACATATTTATTTATACTTATTAAGTGTGTTTAATTTTCACTTTAGTTGGCTGTACTTTACTTATGCTGATTCAACATTCTGATTTCTTACTCAATCAAACTCAAAAATTTGCTGCTATAATATTATGTTATGAACTATACCGAAATGAACCAATTGCAACTAATCCTTTGGCACCTATTTTTATGCATCTYTTGGTATGATATTATTTTAGATAAATTGTGTTTATGATAAACATTAATTTTTTCTACATTTCACTTACAGCATAAAAAAGTTGGCAAAAACGAATATGTTGGTGATTTGCCGGTTTTAACTATGCCTGTTAAAATATTTCTTTCCAATTTAATTATGTCTCAAAATTCTAAAGAGTTATTACGAAAATCTGCTAAACAAGTATTAACAGCACGCAGTGATCCYAGTAAACCTGTAGTTAATACAGCAACAATTCTTAATACAATAAAAGATCGTCGAAAAAATCTTCCACGGACCGCAAAAAGCTCTCTTCCAGTTATCATACCTGATCCTCAAAAAACTGAGTATGACCTTAAATGATTAAATGGTTATAGTTTTTATATTATATTTTTATTTTATAGATCAAAGGAAGGAGCAAAACAAGTTTTAGAAATGTTGATTAGTGGACCAAAATCATATGTATCTCACAATTTTAAACCAGAAATGATGCGACTTGCACCACCACTTTATGTGTGCAATGAAGAAGTAAGAATCAAATAATTAACTAAATAAAGTAAATTGTGTTATTATTGTATTTGAATATCTTCTTAGATGGTTTGGATGAACATGAGTGGGCGATCAAATCATCAGATCATGTATGATAAAACAATGTGTGTGTCTACTAGTGCAGCTACTGAAGCACGAGAACTTATGACTAAAGCTCTCAAAACACCGTTAACCTTACAGCAACAACAACATCTTTTAGCTGAACTTGGAAATGATCCAAAACTAGTTTATCATATAGGTCTCACGCCTTGTAAAGTAAGCCAAGTTACACAGAATTCATTGATGATAATGATTAATAATAGTAATACATTTTTTATTTTTTCATTTTTAAGTTGCCAGATTTAGTTGAAAATAATCCTTTGATAGCTATTGAAGTATTACTAAAACTAATGCAGTCACATTCTATAACTGATTACTTCTCTGTCTTAGTCAATATGGAAATGTCTTTGCACTCAATGGAAGTAGTTAATCGGTATGCCATCAACGTCATTAATCATTATTAATTTTTAACAAGTTTATGTATTATTTAATAGATTAACTACTACTGTAGAACTTCCAACCGAATTTGTACATCTGTACATATCAAATTGTATTGTAGCATGTGAAACTATTAAGGATCAATATATGCAAAACCGATTAGTTCGATTAGTGTGTGTTTTTCTGCAATCTCTCATTAGAAATAAAATAATAAATGTGCAGGTAGTATATTTTTTTWAAATACATTTTAACTGTTAACTATATCTTATTCGTTTTGAAAGTTACCATTCYATGTTAAGTGAACTAATACATTTTTTTATTAGGTTACAAGGTTTACAATAACTTTTGTTTCTTTTAGGAATTATTTATAGAAGTTCAAGCCTTTTGTATTGACTTTATACAAATTCGAGAAGCATCAGCTCTGTTTCGTCTCTTGAAACAACTAGAAACAGGAGATACTTGCAGTATTGGTAATATAGCTGCTGCCGCTGGTATTACACCTAGTACAATTGCTGCTGCTAAAGATAAAGACAAAGAAAAAATAGTGCCAAAGGAAAAGTAGTATTAGTTAGGTCTTTAATTGAATTAAAATGACATCTAATAGAAGTTTATTATTAATTTTTACTTTTATGATAAGTGAGACTGTAAAGTGGAAATAAAAGTGTAATCATTTATTGTATGTTTTATATTTATACTTTTGATAGTTCATAATGGTTACTTTAAAAAAAAATATATTTATATCAAATTAATTAAACCATAAATTGTGCATTTAAACAATGGATGATTATATTATTATGTTATTTATTGTATTTTATGAATGAAAAACATTATAGAAATTAATTGCAAACTTTTTCGCTTGTAAAAATATTTCAAATTGATAAGTGCAACTAAGGCTTAGCCCTCTACCCTTAAAAAAGTTGAATTATTTAGTTTTTATTTAAATTTGATAATTATTTTATATTTTTTATGATCAAATGGTAAATATCATTAGCGTGTGCCTGTGTTTGTTTTTAAGGAAACAATTAATGTTGGTACATTGGTATTATTATTATTCATGACTTTATAGTTTAAGCTCTGAATTATAATATACAGACTGTATATTATTATTGTGAAAAATGAAACTTGAGCAAACAAATATTTGATTTATATTTTATGTATAACTTTAAGTGAATATAAATTGATGATTCAGTAGTGTTTCCTGCACAGGTTACCTTCTTTAATTTACAAATCAGGTGGACAATACAGGCCTATACTCTGTTCGAAATAAAAARCACCTGTGGTGGTCAGCTACTATGCATAGGCATGGCTTAACTACATGTACGGACCATGGCCAATAGGCCTGACYTGACTGTCAGAAACAAAAACTGGTCGTCACCGCTAGCATTTCTTATTTTKAACTGAGTATAGTACCCAACCCCCAAAATTATAGCCTTAGTTGCGTCATAACTAAACAATAGTAAAAAATTCAAATATTTGTAACTTAAGAATTCTTTCTAGTAAGCAATATAGCAATATTTAGTACAATAAATAAAAATAAATAGGTAATATTTAAATATATAAATTATAAATACATTATTTTAATAGCAATATACATATATATACATATTACATATATATATAAATATAAATATATTTATATTTATATATATATATAGTATATTTATATTTATATATATTTTATTTCATTAAGAGATAAGACATTTCTGTGAGTCGTTATATTTTCTTAAAAGACTGCTACACAACCATTTTTTGTCTCTTTACAAGTACCCTTAAGTAACCTAACCTACCAAATTTACGCTCAGAAAATCATTTTTAGCTTCGTTAGTTTAAAAATTAGAATGAATCAACCTATCATGAAACTTGATGTTAGGAACATTATCTGTGTTTGTAAGTGGTTTTTTTTACATTAGTTCAATTTTGTAGTAAGTTATGTGTTTATTAAAATGCTCATAACTCACTTAAAAATTGAGTTATAACAACCAATGTATGTAATAATTAATTCATGTAATAGATTAAAAAAAAATATCTATATAAATCAAAGAAAGTAGTATTTATTGTTTTACAGTTTCATAATTTTATTATGTAAAACTGCAAGTAATACATAAATCTGCCAGAAATAGTGAAATTATGTATATATATATATATATACTATTATTTAAAGTTGAGTCATTATAATTTATTAGCTTATAGTTTTAATTAGTAGTAGCAGTAAAATTAATCAATTTTACATCATGCAATAAAAGAATGATTTATATGATTTTTAACTATAAAATATAAAAAAAATAGTTTTTTTTAACTTCTCTAGATTTGTGTAACACAAGTATTTACATTATTTAGTATATATACAAATAACACATAACATACTTTATTATGGTTAGTTGTTTTATATTTTATATAAGTACCTATAAGTATGTATATATTTTTTGTTATGTACACTTAAATTGTAAGTACAGGAAAACTTAAAATGAGTATATCTTCAAATAAATAATATATTGTATGTTTAGAAATAATGGGAATATGATATTTTAGTTTTCTGGTAATACTTTTACTGGGAAAATTTATTTCATTTCCTTAGAGGCTAAAACTAAAAATGTTCAAAACATGTTTTAGTCAGTAGTCACATTAAAAAAAAAAAACGTATTATTTTATTATATTATATATTACTTTATTAGGTACCTACATTTCTTATTTGAAGCATACTTGTTCATATTTTCATAATTGTATGTATCTCGGCCTATGTCAATAATATCAATAATAAGTATTAAGCAATAGCTATTAAGATTGTTTTAATCAAAAATCTAAAAAAATGACTGATAATAATAAGATGTGGTCAAACAAAATTTCCAAATAATTACATTATTCTTGTTAGCTGTTGAAATCATATCAAATATTTTACTGCATATTGTTAATAGAGTTTACAAAGATCTCAGACATTTCTCTTGATGGTAAACATTGCCCAAACGCTTCTAGCAATAACGATTGTTTGTTGACAGATGTAGAAAAATCTTCAAAAGAAAGTTTTGAGTCTTTGTCACAATCCATTTTGCGCAATACGATGTCGACAAGTTCTCGTACTCCTTCGTCCGGATCCTCGTCTTGCGGATGTTTGACCAAACAGTTCCTGAAACGTGAAATACTGTATGTTTTACTATCTACTTAATAATKTAGCATGCGGCATGCTTGTCCGACATTTTATTGATGTTGAATGTGTAACTGTGTAAGTAAGTTTTAAGTGAGTGAGTTGGGTAACGTTAAAACTATGACAATATATACAGAGCTTAAACCTTAACAGACTGAAAATCTCTTCTTTCGTTATAAATCCGTCGTTGTTTAGGTCATATATGGTGAACGTGTATTTGATGCGTTCGTCCTGTGTGCCTTTCAACAGCACCGACAACCCAGTTATCCATTCGTCTTCGTGTATGACGCCGTCATTACGTTGATCGAAAAAACAAAATATACGGTCTGTCAAAATCTCCTCGGTTGCGATTCCGAATTCGATTTGCAGGAATTCTCTGAACATTAACCGGTCGAAACCCTTTAAAAACAAAACACGAAAAACAAATAAAAACATTTAAATTATCGCGCATGGCAAATAACCTGCGTTGGGATCGTTATTAAAACAACCGAGCTCATTGCCGCTACCGAAGACGTCGATTCGGCGCCATAAATAGCGACGAGTTTTTTAAATAGTTTGCATAATCCAACGATTTCTTTCCTAAAACAACGTTGCAAATGACTGTACAAAAACGTGACAATTACCATTGTAATTCGTATATAGGTACCTATTGTAATTTTCATTCAGCTTATTTATACAATATAGGTATATACCTGTTATTCTTGACATATATATACCTGCTATGATAATGGCGTTAGATCGGTTTTAAATTCTCAAACTACATAGTGCGAGTGGTTTATTTTTTTATATATAATATATATCATATAAACGTAGTAATAGTTATATATTATATCATACCTATATATATATATATATATTATATTAAAATACTAGGGAACCGATAACCGATCAGTATTGCGTACCAATAATTATATCTTTACGAAATACAACAACGTACTTCGAAAATCTTGTCTGCTTAAATAAATTCTCCACAAAGTTTGGAGGAACGATGGGTTTCACTTTTGACATTGACTTTGTAGTACGATTTTGCTCAGATGATTGCTTGCGTTTTGAAGTTACCGTTTTTACTGGTGGCCATTGCTTAGACCCTCTTGAAACTTTAGTCCCAGCAGATTTCCTAGGGTAAACGCATTTCAATTATTAAATAGTTTATAGCCAGTAAATTAAATTATAATTTCTAAAAGATACACTTGTCTTATATTATTTTTCAATATTAGTGTACATAATTATAATTGTTCATAAATTGGGAGAAAATTAATTTGATAATTCATAATCAGTATTCCTACTCGTAAACATGCACTTAAACTACACGAGAGAGTAAATCGGGTAAAACGCCCTCAGGTCTTACTGAGGCCGTACTGATGATATTACCTACAACCAATTACCAATTTTTCTAATACAATTTAAATCACTAAACATTCACAACGACTATAATAGTAACTTATAACTAAACTAACTGCTATCTTTTCTTAACTACTTAACTATATGCGTATACCTAATATACATACAACACAACGTGTCCACGAAGAACGAACTGTGTCTTTCGTTTACCTTATCTGCTAGATAACGCTGACATTAATAAATATTCTTCTTTAGGTAAAAAATATCGGTGTTAGGTCATTTTTATCTTTAACACATTTACTGACTTGTCGAATCGTTCGAACTATCGCACTACATTATAATCATTTTTTAAATAATCCATATTATATATCATATAATTCACCAGCTGTTGGCTATTATATTAACACAATCAACCCAACCTAATCATAGCATGATTGTGACAAATGACAATATTATTGTACATAAATACATGTAAATATATTCTGTATTGCTATTTTCTAGTTGTTATTATAATTTATATTTATATAATATTCAGCTTATGGAAAATGGCGATATTGCACAGAATAACWWAAGAAAATTGCCTTTACCTAAAAAATGTTTTTTTTTTTGGACTCAATAATTTTCATACTTCCAACTCGAAAGAATTTTGAATTTTCAATGTAAGTGCCATGCAATGAAGTGGTAAAGGAGAAGATTAGCAATATCGCTGTAGCCTTCATAACTTCATGAGTTATATAACTTTTTAAGAAAATAACAAATAAAATAAAAGTATTAAAAGATACCTGAATATGTCATTGGAAAAAATGACTATTGAATATTGAGTAATAACTTTGGGCATGCAGTCATGCTGGGTTATGACCCCTTTMGATATTTCCAGTTCAATTACAAGTTTTAAATCCTCCGCTTCTTTATTGAGCTCTAAATGTGCACTATACCCACCGAATGATTAAATAAACTCTTTATATTTTATTAATAAGTAATAATAACTATTCATTAAAAATTACATTAATATTTGGTATTTTGCTTCTATAAACTATAAATAATTAATAAATGGCGTTAAGTCACTTGAGTAAATTGAAAATCATTTAGAATCTATTGGTGGATACAATGGTCAAGCTGGGTATAATATTGTTATTATTTAAACATATTTCTACTTTCTACATTTTTACAAACTTACCTGGTAAACTAATACGGAGGACGAGCTAGTCGACTTACTAGGCACTAGCTGTGCCCCGTGTGTCTACTAGCTGTGTTATATATACTGACAACGAATTATTTTTGAAACGAATTGCATTACAAGTCTACAACACAACGTATGAGACTAAAACTAAACACCAATAATATGCTTTAATATTGCACTTATACGACTTGGTACATAAAAAAACCCCGTSACCAACATTTTTCAATTCGTTTATGTTATTTACCAAAAACACGCTATTTTTGGCATCTACGCCGTAAATATTGCACAATATATGTATAAATTACACATCACGCAATATAAAAAAAAAAAAAACACTTTTCGTTTACAAAATATTAATTTTTTTCTGTGCCTTCTATACGTATGTATACAAGTATACTAATATATACAACTACCTGTAATACTTACAAGTTAGATTTTTTTGTCATTGCTTTTTGAGTTACGACGTCCATTTTCAGTGTGTGCATTAAGTAAACCACATATTATWTAAGTAGATARGAACTATAATACTGACATCGTATTATTGATCAAACATTCTTTGTTCACACACATATAAAAAAATTATACATATATATTATATATACAATAGTGTATTGTGTATTCATTAAAAGTATTAATTTCTTTAATGTTATTTTGTCTACCAAAAGTCCATAATATATAGGTATATATAATGCCTAATTATTGTAAGATATTGTGTATAAAATGTTAATATCCATCTATCCAACCAATCTATACGATTATTAATTAGGTATACTAAATTAACTATTTTCAAATAAAATACGTGTAATAGATGTCTTGATTATACGTTTACTTATATTTATGATATAATTTGTGATATTCCCCTTAAAAATGTATAGGTACGTCACTGGCCCACAAAATATATATTATATATATAATACGAAACTCAATTTTACATWATTACATTWAATTKTTCATAATATTTAATAATAGGAACTTAAATATAAACATAATATATTGTATTTTCTTTGACGTTAAATAACAATATGCATTCATAAAAAATTAAAATGTACATTATAATTATATTGACCAATGTTTAGTTATAATTGGAGCGTTCCGGTGTACCTTACGAATAATTTGTTAAAGGGGACGCTTTTTAACCACCATTAGAGGTAAGGAAACTCATCCTCCCTGCGTCCCCTACTTTAACCYCTGCTTATGTATATATAACAATTTAAATAAGTAAGTATGGTAGATATAAACAGCGAGATAAAGAAATTAAATAAAAAAAGTAGATTGTTAAATTAATAATAAATAGTTAGGTACAATAATAGAACCATGTGGTGCACAATAATTCAAAGACAACAATTTAAACCAGTAAACTTAAGGCCATATATAAACATTCGGTTTAAATAAATATCGCGACATACTAAAAAATTTCAACATGATTCATATAGGTACAGTTTGCCAAAACTATAAAAACAATTTTTTACAAAAATTGAACAATGCGTACAAGTTGGATCGTATCGTGTTCCTTTAGCTCTTTAACACATGGCAACATGGGAGCAAATAAAATATATTATGTAGGTAGGTACATAAAAACAYGTTACCTKACACTTTACAAGCTAAAAGTTGAATATTCAATTCCACGTTTTACAACACATGGTGTATTGACGTATAGTGTAGGTATAGTTGGTACTATAGTCTATAGTTATTCTCACAATGAGCGTTCTCAGTGTTCTCACTGTCCTCTGCAGTTCTGATGTCAGGTATTATCTACACTCAGGATTCYATATAGTATATTAGAATAATATATCTCTGCTATCAAATAAAATTAAAATGTCATATTCCACTAGAATTCTTTTTTGTTTTGATAATCATAGATAATAAATAATATTATTTAAAGTTTATGTGATTAAAATAAATAAAATATTGMCGAAATGGGTTCCTATGTATTTTGATTTCAAATATTTTTTTATTATGATATTAATTTTAAAAAAATAGAAGAAGTAGTGTTCGTTCATATAATATTTATTTAAAATATAGAATTGAAAATGTTTAATTTGTAGTGCATGCGACGTGTTCGCTATATGTATATATACACGGTTTAGTGACAAAATAGGTTATAGTCATAAGATAGATGACATTTCATTTAATCTGTAGTTTAATCATTTAATGTTTACTAATATAAATATAATAATATTATGTGTCTACTGCCCTAACGACTACCAGCATTTATTAATGAAACTTCATGAATCGCAATGCTTATGTCATAGGGGTTTATTTGTTAAGTTATTTAGACCCTCCCATGTATTTTTATTACGTATACAAAATGTATTATTTAATAATCTAAGTTTTGAAATGGTATTTCAGCTAATTTAATTTCCTTGTTATATTAATTTACTAACTAATATTTATAGGCTTGTAAAAATATGTTTTAAATGGGTCAATATATGATTGATCAAAAATCATAATTCAAAAAATTTGTGTAATACAATATTTAGGGATTGGATATATTTAGTATATAATACCCCGATCTAGATATTATTATTATTTCAGAAATTCAGAAACAGTAGCAATAGTGTTTTCTGTTATAATATTTTATAAAAAATGTATTATTATATATAATGGAATTCTTTTCACATGAATTGGATACTTACAATTTAAAAATCAGTGTCAGATATTAAACAACTCGATAGATATGCCTATACACTTAGAAGGCTACAACTTATATAAAATATTATAAACGACCAATAGGTACACAGTATAATATAATGGTTTCAGAGAAGAAAAGAAACTATAGATAAGTTAGGTAAGTACCTGAAACGCTGAAAATCTA